AAAAAAAAAAAAAAAAAAGTCAAAGTCAATGTCGGGTCCGCCAACGGTCGATTTTTTAACCATTCTGATTTTTGACGCACAAGGTTAGTTTAGACGTCTGGTTCAGTGGCGGAAGTCCGATAGGGTCGTTCGATTGGACAGAAACTTTGGGCGTTTTGACTATTATAAATACCACTTCACTATAGATTCATAAATAATTAGAAGAGAATTTTCATGTGAAATATATTCGTAAAATATCTTTTTGAACTTACATTTTTACATTCATTTTATTTATTTATTCATAACAAAAACTTTGATTGTTAAATTAAACTTCTTGAATCATTTCTCTCATTAAAGTTTTTCATTTCTCTTTGTGCTTAACTTATTTATATCAATCTTAAATAATATATATATTTTTTTAAGGATATCTTTACATCTACATTGCATAAACTTTTCTACTTTTTCATATTGAAAATTTTGATTGATTGAATCAAACTTGTAAAATCATCATATTCATCAAAGTTTCTCATTTCTCTCTTGGTACTTAATTTATTACAATTATTCATTAAAAGAGAGATATATTTTGAGAAGATTTTTTGGTACCTACATTGTATTTATTTATTCTTCATCTTTTCATTGAAACATTGTGATTGATTGAATATAAATTTTGATTATCATATTCATCAAAGTTTTTCATTTAACACTTGAGCCATTATTTATTACTATTCATTGAAATGTTAACCTCTCTTAGTACTTAACTTTTTTGTATTATTTATCAAGAGATAAATTCTACTGTAAAATCACTTTGATAAAATGTAGGTCATGTTGAAATTCCTTAAAAATCAACATTATATAAGGATCGGTGCTCCTTATTGTAAGTCACTTGTGAGTCATATTGAGGTCTCGTAAAAGCTCAATAGTGGATCGTGTTGAGGTTTCGTAAAACTCAACTTGTATAATGATCGGTGCTCCTTATTTGTAAGTCACCGGAAGCGTTGTAAATTGTTGAATTGCACCATAAGTCAATCAATATAGTGAAAAGGTCTTGCTCGTGTCGAAGAGTTTGGTAACGAATGACGTAGATCATGGCTCGTGTCGAAGAGTTTGGTAACAATTATATCGTTTGCATTATCTCTCCCTTTTACTTAGGGTGCGTTTGATTGCAAGGGTGGAAAATGAGTGGAAAGAAATGTTTTACAGGGAAAAGTTTTGCCTAGAAAATGTTTTGTAGAGAAAATGATTTCAAGTGTGTTTGATTAGTATAATTTTCCACCCGGAAAATTTTTAAATTTTCTATTCGTTTGGCTTTGTTTTACATGGAAATTGTCCATGAAAGTGATTTTTTTTCAAAAATATGTTATATAATTTGTTTCAATTACCAAAAAGT